CTGGACGCGGAAGATTGCTGAGGCTGTCCGTGGACATTGTCACAGTTTCACATTTGGCAATTTGGCCCGAGAACGTACGAAGCATTTGCCTTGTAGCTCATGGCAAGCATTCGCCAGCACGTCTCATCTGATCCGGCAGACCTAGCAACTGTTCTCCTTCCCTCTACAGCCAATGTTGTTCCGGAATGATCTTTGGATCCAGCACGGCAGGCAATTCGTTTCTTGACATTGCCTGCCGGGGGAAAGATTGCCTCCAGGGGCATCTGAGAGCTTTAACCTGTTCGAATCTGGTTGGTCGTGGGGCTCACCCACAGGTGCCCCAAAAAACCATCGCAAAACCCTTTATCAGGATGGAAACTGGCGGATTCCGAGGCGCACACCACATCGCAAAACCCGTTTATCCGGCCCGACATTGGTGGGTTGTGAGGCACACCCCACGCTCCAAAACCATCGCAAAACCCCCTGATCCGGCGTCGGAAAGTGGCGACTTGGAGCAGGCCGCGGACTAAAATTCTGCCGGTTGCATCACGTGGCCAGCGGCTGACCCAGCACAACTTCTCGCGCACTCGCACATTGCGGCCCGTAGGCCAGTTCGGCATGCACTTAATTGGCCTGTTTCAAGCCCATCCAGCACACAAGTGCGGGCATCGCTGCATTGCAGCGGAAAAGGGTGAGACTCCGAGCTCCTATAGTCCGACCTGCCTAGGGACTACAGCAGTGGGAGTCCACGTCCTGCTGGGTGTGGAGTCCACAACCCGGTGAGACCCGGGGTGGAAACCTCAACTTAAAAGGGGAGGCCGACCCCGGGTGTGGAGGCCACCACCCGCCAATTAGGAACTGGCATGCAGGACTCTTCACTTTACAGTGAGCAATCCGAAAGCACACTTGGCCACAGGGAAAGGTGGGTCACAAGCCTTCAGCACAACTTCTCATGGTTACTCTTCCATTTAGAATTTTAAAATCCCGAGTCTCCTCGGCTTCAAATCCCGTCCCAGTATTGGGGAATCGTATTCGAAGCTGTATTGAAGCCAACTTCAAACTGGCTTCAAGTACCGTCCCAGTATTGGGGAATCGTATTTGAAGCCTTATTGAAGCCAACTTCAAACTGGCTTCAAATACCGCCCCAGTATTGGGGAATCGTATTTGAAGCCTTATTGAAGCCGACTGCAAACTGGCTTCAAACACCGTCCCAGTATTGGGAAATCGTATTTGAAGCCCTCTTGGAGCCGTTCCGCGGAACCATCGCAAAACCCCTTTATCAGGACCGGAACTGGTGGATTCCGGGCACGCACCGCATCGCAAAACCCTCTTATCCGGTGGGCTTTGGGACACACCTGGCACACCGACACCATCGCAAAACCCCTTTGTCAGGACCAAAACTGGTGGATTCCAGGGCGCGCACCGCGTCGCAAAACCCCTTTATTCTTTCCGGTTTTGGTGGGTTTTGGGGCACCCCACCCAAAACCATCGCGAGACCCTTTATCAGGACAGAATTCACTGGGACTTTACAATGATTTATTTCTAGGGATGGGAGCCGGTCGGGCCTGCGCAGCAGGGTTCTCCAATGTTGTATTACAACATTGCTTCAAAGGGTTAAAGGACAAAGCTTTTTTGCGTCTTTCACGACAGAAAAGGGGATTCGGCTTCATCGACGCAGCTCTTGAGTGTCTGCACACAGTGTACAATTTGCAACCGAATTCAGTACCCATGCGCGGGTTCCTTTTTTTAAACGGACATCCTGCAGCGGCGTGCTCCGCCATGTGCCCTAGCGTCCGCCCTCGTTTGGCCGATAGAGCACCAAATACGTCTGAAATAACACCGAACCCAGCACGGAAACGAACCGTTCATTGTGCTTGCGTAATTTCCTTAATATGTACCATGGAAGCGAAATGCACTTCTATTGAATGAAATCGTTTTGATGGCCCACAGTTTTTGACGGTTTGGCGGGTTTCTGCTCTTTTTGGCTGCAGTTTACGAAAGGACTCATGCCACATAAAAGTAATCTGACTACATCTGGCACTGCTTTTTCGATCCGCGTCCAGATTTCGCGGCTCCCAAAAGCGAGCTCCAAAGCATGGTCGTGGCGGTATCCTGCCTTCTTCCAAAAGGCAAACCTCTCTCTGGGGAGGGTGTTGTCAGCTCCCACTCTGTGATAGCTACAGGCCCATGTTCGAGACATAGGTCAGAATTCGTTACTTTTGAGCACTTACGATCTGCGGGCCTACGGCCCGCTGCTCCCACGATCGTAGGGGCTCTAAAGTCTTTGCAAAACGGGATTTAGAGGTGCTTTAAGGGGGCGCGTACCTATCAGCAGCCCACGAGCTACTTGCCGGC